TACGGGAGAAATCCCAGAGGGAGCAGAGAAGGGAAACTTGAATTGAGGGGAACTGTGTAGGAAGGCAAGGGCCAGGCTAATATCATAATCCTTAAATTTCTTTTATCTTTAAACTAAAACAAAAGACTCAAAATTACATAAAGATCTAAAAGTTTCAAAATTTGTTCTTTAATGTCTGATTGAGAATTAAAGCATTTTGAATCTTTATTTTCACAGTAGTTGGGTGCTGGAAGAAAATAATCCTTGTAAAACTAAATAGAGCCCAAATAATAAGGGAATTTGTGTTCTTGGCAACAAATCTTATACCACTGGCAAGTCTGTTAATTTCCCTTTTAAATGATGCCACATTTGTAAGGAACATGCATTTGGTGCGCAGTGGAGCAGAATGTGAGTTGAGCACATTAAAAACTTGCCAAATCTTCTCTGCCGAATTGCTTATTTTGCTGTTGCTATTTCCACTTGTTTTTAGCTTCTGGTGCTGCCWATCAGGTGCCCGTTATGACATTTATTGCCAAGAAGCATTGTTACAACAAAGAAATAATCGACTAAACCCAAATATCCTTACTTTTTTTTGGTGCTACATTTATTCAGGCAAAAAGTTTGTAAACCAGATAAGAAGTAGCTTCTAGTACGATATAGTTTTGTTAGCGGCGATAGTTATACTTTTCAGATTCCTTGGTGCTGATTTGAAGCTGCAGTTTCATCGAGTCCCTGCTGACCACATGTTCTCTGAGCAGCTGAATGTGCTGCAGTTACAGGCCGGGAGTCTGCAGAGCGTCTGAGAGGATGTGTTCGTTGCGGAAGCAGATTGGCAGAGAGCATTAGGAAAAAATAAGAGCCGTCCTGTATGTGCACATCTCTGAGGGTGTGTGTGGGGGCGTTTCTGCTGATGAATCAAAGAATGAGGGGTGCACTGAAACGCATGAGGCTGCGGCCTACAGAAAAGGCTTTACTAATTAGAGCTGATGCTCAGTGATTTCTGATGGTAGCACAGATGTCTTCWGCAGCTTGCAAGGTTTTTGATTGGATATTTTTTATACATCAACTCATTTTGGTACTTACATCACATCTGGTTTTCCTAATAAATCAGAACAGGTCTTTGAAATAATTAAAAATGTATAAATGGAAACTGACCAATCAGTGAGCGGTCACCAGTCAGTGTTAAAAAGGTTTKATTTTGTTGTCCTCTTCATCTAATTTAGTTCAATAAATATACATTTTTTTGTATTAAACTTAATTTTAAACATCTTTACCCTAAAACACGTTAATGAACTGAACAGGGTGTAAAAATAGTAAGCCCACTGTGTGCTACTTACAGAAACTGTCAAGTGATAATCTGGTTTGAATGTTCTCGTAGTGCTGGCTCAGTCCGATGTCGTCAGCGTGTTCTGAGGGAGGATGGCGGATCACATGTGCAAGAGCTCTGAAAAGATGGGAAATAAATAAGGGAAAAAAAAACATTTATAATGGCAAACGTGAACAAAATAACATGCAGAGTGAAAACGGAACATTAAACTCATAAAATGATGATGTCGCTCTTAGAAAAATGTGCATCATTGCTAACTTTGCTAWATACTTGTCATTTTCTTTGTGTTTCCTTCTCAAAAACACATTATATGTAAGAAGTTATCAAAAGAATCCCTTTTTGTTTAAAATTATTTAGTTTCTGTGAGCATTTCTTAGCTGCACCTGCTGTTTGTTGCAAAACAAATGCATTCCTTCACGGCTTTAGCTTTTRTTTTTACCATTTTTCCTGAAATTATCTCCTACAAAGACATTTAAYGGTTAAAGGTTATGGGACATAATTATTTCCTGTTTATCAAGCACAAGCCACCTGGGTCAACAGAACCAATAATCAAACTTATAAGTCTGTAAATAGTAAATACTTTGTGTCACTCAGCTATAAATTAAGAAGCAGTTAAGTTTATTGGTGAAAAGTTACACCTGACAGCAGATTTTATGCTGAGTTTAAACCAATYTGAGCTTCTCTAACATTCAGATTTCATTTTTTAGACGTAAAATCATGTTGCATGGAAAAACTTGTTGYTTTTACAAGTAAAGTTGATTCTATATCACACTAAAAAAAGTTTTTTCACAGAATAAGTCACCCTAATTTTGCAATTTGTATTAATATGTAAGGTCCTTGGATTTACCTTGACATATTTTCCCTGTTTGGACGGTGCGTCTTTTCCAACCCAAGCTTGGTGAAAATCCCAATCAGAGCCATGATGGCGACCACCCCGCAGATGATGTACACAATCAGGTTGGTTTTATCCTTGGCGGACTCCGACGCCACGTCCACTTTAGGTGGGGGTCTGCCGGTCATCATCCACGGCGGGGTGTCGTAGTTCTTACAGGTGGTCTGGTCCAGGCGCGAGCTCTTAAACGCGCAGCAGAACCTGAAGCCACAGGTGCCGCAGCAGTACAGGTAGTTGCCCGTCCTGCACACGAACGGCGGGTCCCACTGACCCATCACGTCGTAGTAGCCTCGGCACTTGTCCTCCGTGTGGGGGCTCTCCGTGGACACGCTCTCCCCCTCCGCGGACTCGTTAAACCCGACGAACACGAAGTCGTCCGCGCTCTGATCCAGCTCGCCCTCSGCGTCACAAACCAGAACTTTCACCAGAAAGTAGCCGAGCAGCAGCTCAGCGCCTCGCATGGTTGCTCACTTTCTGACGCGCTTAAAGTAAAGKTCTCAGAAGGTCGGCAGCATCTCTTGAAGCGCGGACGCACAGCCCTCCTGCGTAAAAGACAAACAGGCTGATTCCAGCCTCCATGCGTAAAGCGCGGCGCCACCTTCTGACATCGCCCTCTCCTGAAACTGGAGCTAAATGAAAAAGGAGGTTGTTGTTGTTGTTGTTGTTGTTTTAGTCCCAGAAGCCAGCTTACAGGAGAAACATCTCTAAAGCTCTGCCCCTGGATGTGCTGCGGGGCTACAGACACCTCAAAGGCAGCTCCATTCCGCAGAGCCCGATGCAGGAGCAGGTGAGAAAGACAAACAGAAGAGAAGCCCCTCTGTTATAAACCAGGGGAGAGAGAGGGAGCGTTGTGTGCAGCAGCTCTAATTACAACCTCCTGCAGCCCATTATTACTGCGCTGTGTGACAAAATGACTGCAAAGACGCAACCAGTGACCCAAATCCTCCTTAAAAACAAACTGGGCTGAACCGGACTCATCCAAACACTTATTGACTCGTTACTGAAGTAAAAGCTTACAGCTGCTGGTTTTTATTTTTTTTTTTTTGCACCATTACTTTTTATCTTAACTACTACTACTACTACTACTACTACTACTACTACTACTACTACTACTACTACTACTACTACTA